TCGGTTCCATCGTAAAGTTTGCCCTTTGTGCCTGCGCGGACGAACGAGCGCAACGGGAGAGACATATTGCGGGTTAATATCTGCAGGTAAATACGCTGCCATGTCCATTCCTATGGTATAACTACTCGACTTGCTGCGGCGAGAGGATAGAGGAGAGGGAGACACCCACGACAGAAATATACGAGAGAGCGAGGAAGAAGAGGAAACGTAACGCATATATGCAAAAGTAAGACAACCACGACATCTCCTTGTGCTTCAGAAGCAGGGACCTGTCACCCAACTGCTGCGCCCCCGATGTCGGTAGAGTCCTTAGCCTTTGATTGGAAAATGTTCTAGTTTTTTATCCTGCTCCAAGACTGACGGCTTCAACTGAAAAAAAACACACCCAACATACATACACTGGCTAGAACACCGCAGCATTGAAAATCGCCAAAAAGACTGGACCGAGAGCACACTCGCCGTTCACCTTGTCCGGGGTAAGAAAAAAATAAATATCGTCATCCTCTTTTTCCACTGCTGCTGTGTGCGTCCAAAAACGAGGAGGGAGGAGAGGAGAGGGCCTACTGCAGTTGTAGACTTGGTACGGCGAAGTATTTATTTCAGCTTCCGACAACCGTACAGTAGTACTTCCTTGTAGGTGGCATGAGATACCACACATCACCCTGGGCAATTTTTCAAAGCTCGATTGCTCCACAGCNACCCAACATACATACACTGGCTAGAACACCGCAGCATTGAAAATCGCCAAAAAGACTGGACCGAGAGCACACTCGCCGTTCCCCTTGTCCGGTGTAAGAAAAAAATAAATATCGTCATCCTCTTTTTCCACTGCTGCTGTGTGCGTCCAAAAACGAGGAGGGAGGAGAGGAGAGGGCCTACTGCAGTTGTAGACTTGGTACGGCGAAGTATTTATTTCAGCTTCCGACAACCGTACAGTAGTACTTCCTTGTAGGTGGCATGAGATACCACACATCACCCTGGGCAATTTTTCAAAGCTCGATTGCTCCACAGCACACAGAGTGCATCACCTTTTTGGGCAGCTTCCTGCAAGATTTTAGGTCCCATCGAGTTGCGGCCCATGATGTTCTTCGTGAGCCAAGCTGGGGTATTGGTGAAGTCGTACTCCTCTACCAACCAGCGAAGAAATGCCGGCACAGCGAAGTCTTTGTAAACGCTGACTGCCTCTGCATTTCTATCGGACTCGCTGTAGGTCTTGCCGCTCTCCTTCACGCTCATCCCAGCGTAGAACCCGGGCAGGAACTGGAACAGACTAGCATGGCCTACTATAGGTTTGTCGCTCCACTTGGTGCCCTTCATCCTGCCGATCACCCAGTCGGAGCTAGTATTCTTCGGGAGATTAAGGGTGGCTGCCATGGTTGGTGCCTGTGCTGCACTTCTGTAGCTCTCGCTCTCTATCGTGTGGGGTGTGGTCTGTGCTAGGCTGCTCTCGGCCTCCATTCAATCTCGAATTCTAACATGTCGTGGGCCCCCTGGCGCAACACGTTTGGACACGCCACAGCAGGATGCTTGAAAACCAGACAAAAAAATCCGTTGGACCATAAGATAGCTTCCCTACGGATTATCCGCACGGAATTTCGCAACGAGTTTTTATTTTCCGTCGGGGAAACTTTCGTTTGCCATAAGAGTCAGCCTAAACATCACAAAAATTGACCGTTTTCAACAAAAATGTTCCATTTTTGTACCACATTCCCACCAGAAACACGGAAAAAAACTGAACAAATACAGCTCAATGAACAAGAATGCGCCATCGACTCTACGGCCTCAATTCCTTCGGGGTCGGGCGCCTGTTCGACTTGTACTCCTTGTACGTCTTCTTGCCCTCAGGCCCTTGCACACGCGTCTCGCGGTACATGAGGGCGTGTGTGTACGCCTTCTTGCAGTAGCCCTGGACTACCGAAACAGCCTGTCTATCCTTCTCTGGTCTAAAACTCAGCGGCACGTTCTTGCGCAAGCATTCCAACGAATATTTGCAGTTCTTTTGAGTCCAGTCCTTCGCTCGGCCCCAAACAAGCTCGATGGGGTTACACTCGCAGTGGTACTTAAGAAGATTGAGACAGGCCCCCCCGTGGCGCTGCATCAACAGCACCAGACTAGAATCAACTTCCTTGAAGTCCTTCTGCTCTCCCAAAACGTGCTCCATGCTCTTGCTGAGGTCACCCCCCCTCGGACCCCCCCCCTCGAGCCAGCACGTGGTCTGCTAAGTCGTAATATATGTAGACTACTGCTGTATTTTTTAAAAAAACGAACGGAAAATAACTGACGACACAAGACAATGTGCAACGAGGGAGAAAGCGAGGAACCGGCTGGGGAAGACAGCAACGAGAGCGTGTACGAAGCGGAGCGGGTCGAGTTTGGTCGTTGTAGGACTAGCCACAGCGGCACCGGAGCAGCGGCACCGGAGCAGCGGAACCGGAGCATGCGGACGGCATCGAACCGTGATGCACGGACAAACATCTGTTCTATCTCTTCGTCGACGCCAGTGTGGACCCTGGCAACTGTCGGAGACACCGGTGCCTTGGCAGTATTATCCCACTGCCAGGGGAAGGCTATTTCCTCTCGTGATATGTAAACGAGGAGAAAGAAGGGGGTAGAAAGAGAGAGTGGCCAGAGAGAGCAGAAGAAGGAGAGGAGAGTTACTGAGACGGTACAGCTCCCTCTAGCAAACAAACCTAGGGCCGTGTTCATAGTAGTGCCCGTCCACCTTATTGATGGCGTCTGCCTCCGCGCACGAAGAAGAATGACAGAGATGGGCATTGCTGCCTACACCGACGGCCTGGAGGCCCAAGCATCTATCTTTACCTTTGTACCTGACGCACCGGTGCCGACCCAACTCCACCACTACGGAGCCTCGCGGCGGGTGCGCCTCAGCAAGAAGGTATCGGTACCTTGAGGGTGAGTCTAGCCCTGCTCGCTAGAAAGACCCTTTCACGCTATGGGTCATGCCTACATAGACTACGCAAAACCTTGCCGAGGCAGCGAGGGGAAGAAAGTGAAAGGTGATGTGTACTACTCCTGTTGTACTTCGAAAACACACAGCAATCACCCGCAACGAATACATATGTAGATATGGAGGCACGTGCAGACTACAGTTGAGTATCCTGTTTAGTGCTGCACGACAGAAAAAAAAAAAGTACGCTGAATATCGCTTCCAACGGGAAAGCAGCCCCTTGTGGAAACCCCTATGATCAGGTGGCTCGCTTGGCAACAGACCTCCACACCTAGCACCGGCTCTTGAGGGCGAACGAGGGCATAAACTGTCCAGATTTAAGAAGAGGTATGTAAATAAGATACCAGGGCACACCAGGGTATGTTTTATATGTCCAGTTGCTCACGGTAGGGTGAAAAAGTTGGACTTGAGCTAGAGCGTACGACCATGCAGCAGCTCCAAAATCAGAGTTTCAGTCAAACTGGGCTTCAAGAGAGCAAGTACGATTTCTTCGAGTTCAATTATTCCACTCGGTGCTTTGCCAATATACGAGCCGAACATGACTCGGGGAGTTTAGCTGCAGACACTCCAGTCCGTGCATAAAGATTTAAACGCCGCGGTATCACATGGTCAGGTATATAAACTACGTATTTGAACAGGCTTCAGTCCGTTGCGTTCTCAGGTGCATAGGCGCGCCCGTAAAGAGGATCAGATCTTATGCATGGATTAGAAGAGGCACCGAAGATCCCACCCCACGAATAAGCGTGCGCCTGGCTCAGCTGTACGTTCAAGAGTAACATGTTGTTTTTGTAACTTTGGTCAGGTTTCGAATGCATGGACAAACGGCCGGTATAGGTCGAGCTGCTGCTACATGAATCGTCAGAGACGTAGGTGGGCCAACAGGCTTGTGGGGTAAACAGCCCCACAGCTCTACCGGGTACGCCACCGGCGATGCCTCGGAACCAGTCTGGGAGCCCTTCTACACCCGGAAGCGGGGGTATACAGCCGATATTAACCCTTCGACAGCTCACGGAAGGCGCGCTAACCCCGCGTAAGCCAGTGGTCGACGACACAGGAGGAGACTCCACAAGTGACCGTCCACAGAACGGGAGCAGGAGACAGGGTAACCTAACCACCGAGGCGCACACCCCCGTCGCCGCGACAAAGCGCGACGCGGGAGATTC